AAAAAAAAAAAAAAAAAAAAAAAAAATGAAAGTAGTTGCAGAAGTTATCACCTTAATGTAACTTATCAAAGACTCAATCCTTTCCCGTATTTCCTACAGGCCAGCAATATACAGATCTTTACTCCGACAGTAGTTCCATTTCAAGAAAAAAAAGAGAAATCCTCGCTTTTAAGCAATAAGCTAACATGCATTGGAAGCAATAGTTAATTGTCTGTTGGTCATCTGACGAAGATCCCTATAAAATTGGTCATCATTATTTGATTCAACCCTTTGAAGTTATAAGCCAAACACATATACATATTTATAAATACTTATATCTATCGATAAACAAAAGCATTTCCAACATTTCTAAGCTAAGGAAGTTGTAGATAACGCAAATAGTTTTAGTTGTAATTCTATTGTAATAAAACAAAATTAAATTAACTTATGTTTTATTGAATAACTACACTGTTAATATAGTATGAATCAGGATAATATACTTTATATAAAAACACAAAAACAATACCGTGACAATAGGTAAATAAAACATCAAATAGAAAATTGAGAAATCACTAATATTTTGCCAAACTTTTGTTTCATATAGTGGCGTAAGTACAGGGTGGCAAGTCAGCAAAATGCCACGGAATTCCAGCTGGATGGGGCCCCGTTTAGAGATTTCCATCTGAACTCCTCTGTTTTTTTATTGGGAACGAGGGTCCATCCGATGAATTGGCCACGGACCCTGAACGCTATAGTTACGCCACTGGTTTCAAAAAAGTTTCATCAATCAAAATTATCATGAATCAATAAATTCTCTATTAATTTCACATACACGTATAGTGTTAAACCTTGTCGAAATACCTAATAAGGCAGAACTGTAAAGGTCACTTCACTTGCCATCCGGGCCGGACCATATTCGAAAATCTGGACAAATTAAAATATTCCCCTTTAAAACTTATAATCTCGGCAATGATGAGCCATTAATGCAGCAGCAATGTAGTGCATATTCTGGAATGCTGTGAAGGTCCTAGCATTGTCATTCCAGAAGAGCAAGTCATCGACTTCCTCCCCTCTTGGACAGGTGTGGAAGAAAATCCAGCGGAAACATGTTTGTTGGTTAATGTCCTGGAAAAATAGTATATCGTTAGAGCGGAGGATTTAGCCCCAAGTTTTCTTCCAGCAGTCAAAGTCCACATAGGTATTTCGTAACATCCACTTTCAGGTCATCTGGATCTGCCTGGAATAGTAGTAGGTTGTATGGCAAGGGACTTACTTACCTACTAAAGTAAACCCCCACTTTCACCTGGTACAGGTGCAATTGATTGCAGGCCCGATGTTCAGCTACGAAATCTCGCCAGGTGGTAAGCGATGATGCGACGATAGATCGCGCCTGCTTAATAACGTTGTTTATGTGCAATTCTGCCTACCCCCAGGGAAACGAAAGCTGTGACGTCATAGTAAAAACAGTGTTATATTTACTGTAATTCCCAGCATGAATTCTGGTAGTTTTTCCGCCTTCTGTGTAGTTGGACCTGCTATTACGACGCAGGCATTGCTTACGGCATCCGATGTTTCCGAACACTGCCGAACTTCCGTCGCTGTGCTTGCGCACATCGCCTTACTGGTGTGGTACAAGAGAGGGGTGACTGGACATTTCTGAGGAAAAATTTTTCTTTTGCAAGTAGATAGCTGATAATAATTAGCTATTCTGTGGGTGTGTAAATTATAGCGAAGGTCGGTTCGACAGGAGTGATCGACTTTTTTATAAGGGCGATAACTAATCATTCAGTGACTTTCCCACCTTGGGTAAGGTAAGAGGGAGTGTCAGACTCTTACTGACTAAAACCATCCTGTTCTTACTTCGGTAACCATCCTGTTCCTTCAGCTGTGTTAAGTGTGAGAGAGCCATGCTTCGGCACCAATGGGCCGGCTCGATCGGAGTGATACCACGGCCTCACAGAAAGCCGACGTGAAATAACGCTTGCTCGCTTATCGAAACAACATTTTAATGTGTGAGCGAGGTTACCGGAGGCCCTTCCCCAATCTCCCTAATCCCTGAAACAATTCTAATTCCTACTCGGTGACGCTGATTGCTAACCATTAGGTGATCCGTCTTATCAAAAAAAAAGCTCTGGTTGAAACAATTTCTTTCGTTGTGTTTCGCCGTATGAGTGAGGTTATCAAACACTCAAATCCTTTTCCCTATCTCCTAAATACCGGCAATATATTTGTCTTTTCTCTGGTATTGCAGTGTTTATGGGCGGCACCGATTGCTTACCATCGTGTGATTCGTCTGCTCGCTTAATAAAATAATCGTGATAAATGACATTTTCTTCATCTTGTTCATTTTCTTTGTGAAATAACTTACCTTGCAACAACATTTGAATTTGATATTGGCTCCAAGCATTGGGCACAGCAAGAGATAGGAGTTAAGGACTGGATGCGGAGGCCCCACGTAGGATAGGTTGATTCCTTGCATTGTGCCAAATTCTTCCTGTAATTGTATTAAAACTACTTAGTATTTTCTAGCCTTTTGGGTGGGCTTCTGAAGCTACAGGTTGTTTCAAACACAGGATTGATAAATCTTGTACTTTGGGGGCGCCAAGGTTGCCCATAAAAAGCTTTGTGCGATAAGAGTGCTTTGTTAGTCTTGTGATCGCAGTGTGACTGACGAGAAAGAGAATTCGGATTCAGTCAAACTATTATTGAGATTTTTTAGCCGGTTGAAAGCCACCTACATCCTGTGGCTCCTAGCACCTTGTTCACCTTATGATTGGATGTCGTGTGCTGCTCCTGCCGGTACGAGGCCTTTGTTGAAATGGAAACGACGTAAACCTTTTTATAGTCATACAAAAAATCAATAGAATTAATAAAACTAATGAAATCACCATAATAGCCATGATGGTGGCCAGAGACTGTAAACTGGCGTGTGTCCTGGACTTCATACACAGCACTGGCACTAAGGATCTGGTAGCAAACCGCTGGACACACATTTGAGTCTTCGTAGATATGAATATTATATCAGCCATGTCTGAGAATATTCTGGAACAATAGGTACGACCCTTACTCATCTTGAATCGAGTGGATGCAATTGTTTTTAACTTTTTTATGGAATAGGAGGCAAACGAGCAGACGGATCACCTTATGGTAAGCCATTAGCGCCGCCCATGGCCACCCGCAACACCAGAGGAGTCACAGGTGCGTTGCCGGCCTTTGAAAAAGGAATACGCTCTTTTTTGAAGGTTTGAAGGTCGTATCGGTTCGAAAGCACCGCCGACAACAGATCATTCCACAGTTTTGCAGTGCGAGGCAGAAAGCAACGTGTGAAGCGCATAGTTGTGGCTATCCAACCATCTATATGATGGGGATGCATATGCTGTCGTGAGGGTCGATGGGGAAATGATGCGGCAGGTATCAGGTCATCTGCTAGATTATTTCGTTCAAAATTTGCGATTTCGAAATTCTCAGAGTGCCAAGCATTCGTAACGTAGTATCGAGCGCGTTCGTCGCTCTGATTGGTTGGGTCACCAGCACAAAAAATTTTTTTTTTCACTATTAAGCGATTCAATCTATCTACCCTCACGAGTAAAGAAAATGCTGAAAATATGCATTGGACCATATTTCTACCGCTTCAGTTTGATATCAGTTGAGCGACAGCGCTCAAAAAACTTATAGGGGTGATACCGTATCTTTTGTGTTTGGTATAAAAGTTTTCAGCTTTTCACTGCCCACATGACAATCGTACCCGAATGTTATTTCTACCCATTCCCTTTTTGCTCACTGCACAGATAATAAAAATACCCACTTTAAAACACTAAGACTTTTATGTGATGGTGTTTTTAAAAGTAAACGTTAGTTCAATTTTTCGTTGTTGATGATTTGATGGAAGTATGGAATCAACTGAACAGGGACGGGTTCCTGAGGCCCAAATATGTGGACTGCACGGTGTGGTGGCTGGGCAACTAGCTGCCGTGCAACGTGTGGCGGATGCGATTTCCACACGGAACAACTCTATGTGTGATCGACAAATTGTTATTTCGGGTCTGGGAGTTATGTGTATTGTCAGCCAACTTGTATGTTACCCATGACACAGGAGAAAATCCTAGTGTGGAGGTTTTCTTTTTAAATTATATTGATATCCTATACTTACACAAATAGATCATCATTTCACTAAAAAAAACCCCACTCTGTGTAAGTTTGGCTGCCTGAGGCCCCCCTTCCATAGCACTTATGTGGTCCGCTTCTACTTATGTGGTTCATCCAGAAATGAATTCTAGTCGCGAGTGCGACTGCCGAACAAGGGGTCTGGGTGCGATTTCCGGGTCGGGCAAAGTATCACTGGGTTTTTAAAAAATCTCAGTAGTAGCACGGAGTCTGGAATTGTGCCCGGTACCTATATGGCAATAGGCTCACCCCCTATTACATGGGACTCATAACTTAAATAGCGAAAAGTGGGTGTTACATTGTACAGTGGCATAATGTGCACCTCTGCTTACCCCTTCGGGGATAAAAGGCGTGATTAAGTAAAATCGCGGGTTACTCACGTGAATATACTGAGAAAAGCTCTACTAGTTTCGAACCACAGAGGGGTTCTTCCTCATGAGCAGCGTGCGCTGTCGCGGCGACGTCGCGCAGCTCACTGAGTCAACCCGCGGTTTTACTTAATTTAGTATGTCTCACGAAGTCATGATAGTTATTATAAAGGCGTGATGTTATGTTATGTGTCAATTCTAGGAAGGTCTTTTACCTGCCGTGATAATCTTGCTCCCATAGTACATCCTCGATTATTCCTACATCGGAAGCTCCTAGCAAGGTCGCTGCTTTTGAGACAGCCATAGTCAGCATAGGTTCGTTGACCTCTTGAAGAATCATCACTTTTGCGTTCGGTATTATATCCTGTAATAAAAATATTAAACAATGTGATTTCGTTCACCAAAAATGTTGTACAGTTTCATCTGGTTTTTTGTGGTATATGTAAGCTGAATACACACTTGATTTCTTTTTTGGGGGTTCAATATTGGACCCACCACCCATAGGTGATGTAGGTAACGAATCAGTATACAATAGGTTTAGTACTTTAAGAGAATGTCTATGTTCTGTCTAGGTCCTATGATGTTAGTGACTGGCTACCAAACGACTGACATAAATGCATAAATCAAATAAATATAAATCAAATATGGCGGGTAGGTAACTGAAATTATAATAGAGAAGCAATTTTAGGATGTTACCCGCTCTGCTCTGCTCCTATTGATCGTAGTATGATGTTTTATAACCTTCCTCAATAAGTTGGCTATTAAACACAAACATTTTTCGAATTCGGACCAGTAGTTTCTGAGATAAGCGCGATCATACACACAAGCAAACTCTTTAGCTTTATAATTATATTAAAACAATTGTATAAGAGTCCAAAATAAGATTTGTTATGGAAACTGGTTTCTCGGGAGCAAAGTCACTGGTAAAAGGAACCTAATGGAAGTATGTAGGTAATCATAAAAGAAAAAGACATACCAATCTCTTGTTGTGGGTATCTCTCATTCGACATTTCAAGTTTAAAGCACTGATTATAATATCTAAAACCATTTGTCCAGTCCATTGTTTGAAACAGATTAAATGTCGTGGTGGTAAGATTCTTGTGTATCTGGGAAAAAGAAATATACAGAATATGACATCCTTTATTACCTTATTTGCGGAACGATAATCAATTCGAGAAAACGACTTTGTGTAGTTTCTGGGTATTGAAGTAACTGCAGATCTAAGATGTGTTTGAAGATCACAAAGGTATTAAATCAAATAATTGATCCTATCAGGCATAAATCGCAAATATCCATGCTTCACTAAACAACGGGAAAATATTATTTAGTTTTATTCCGGTGGTACAGAATGAATTTGCATGCATTATGCAGCACCGCCCTCCGCTCCCAGATAAACGCTCATGCAGCAAAGACGCGACACAAACATACACACGACACGCAACAAACCACTGGAACTACACTCGCCATAATTATATTTTGCTCCTCCACGGAGCATCCTCAGGAGTTGCTCGGCGGCTCCCACGGCTCAAACTTGAGCGTGTGTTTGAGATTGTGTCATCTCTGCTGCATTTAGCGGTTATCTGCTGGTAACTTTTCAAGGTCAATAATAAGTGTGGCCAATGACAATGTATTGAAGGACAAGACCTTGATGGTTGCCTTGAGAAATAAAATGCTTAAATTGGTCTTTTTGCGAGATGGGGCCTCTGCAAAAATCCTATTGTTGAGCCGTACTGACGGTGCTGGAAGAAGGTACCTATTTCATTACTAAAAGAATAAAGATCAAAGCAACAAAATTTATACTCACTCACAAGTTTTACTATACGGGAAACGCTGTAATAATGAGTCATATTTTATAACTGATTTGAAATATTTTGAAGCTAGTCCAAAGTCTAAGGATGCAGGACGAAAATTTCGAGTCATTTTTCCTATTCCGAAAATCTCCCCATGAAGATATGACCTATTCTAATTTGACATTAAAAGATAATTATAGACATTTGGTTTTGTTTTTAATTTTCCTGTTTATCATAGATGCAGGTTTTTGGGGTTGAAACTTATTGGGCAAGTTGGTACCTACCTCCTTGACTATTCTGTGACTCCTTAGAGACTTGTTAGAATGATTCTTTACCCTTAGATCGTTAGACGAAAAGTATTGCGAAGATCACATATACTTAAATCATTTTGGGGAAAAATTGGTTCAATTGTGAAGAGGTTTTTTGCAAAGGTGTGCGGCGCGTCGTGTCGATCTATAGGTAGGTAACTGATTTTTTTTGTTTCAAAATTTACGTAGGTACTTTTGGGCCCACGCATGAATACAGTCGCGAAGTGCATACAAAAGTAATACACGTTAGTAGAGATGCTGTCGCGCTTTTAGTGAATACGCGACAGCATCGCTACGAAAAGCCGCCGTGGCCTGGGGCCCTTAGAGTCAAAAGTTATAATTACGCTCTGTAAGGCCAGATCAATACAATATCAAATAACACACAAGAAAAGTGCTCCACAATGGCTTCATTTTCTGACTCCAAAAACGTAAGTACTACATAGCATTATTTATTCAGTATTTAAAGCGAAACAAAATAAAAATGGAGGCAAAAGGTCGTTGTGGGAAAAGCGGTGAGTTTGTACAATTCGTTAGGCGAGCAAACTGTGTGGCAGGAATACTTTGAGTCACTGTACAGAGTTATTACAGCAGTTCAAGTGAATGGTTTTGGTAGGAATTGATTTTTGAATCATTTATTTGATGAAGTTTATTTCTATGTGTGTTGTGTTCGTGAATATTTTATTTATTAGATTGTTTGTTGGTTTACCAAGTGACAGTGACTGTCTCGAGTTCAGTGATCGAAGTATGTGTTTTCTGTTAGATATTTATTAATACGTCAATCTTAACTGGTCGAGTACCGTCATTATAGACACAATTATAAAACAATAGGTTGCGGTCACCGGTGACCGCTTGGTGTTTGACAGTTTAATCTACATCTTTCGGACTAACTCGAAACATCCCGTCAATTCCATCAACAGCCTGTTCTCGTTGACCACTGAGCTCGATGTTCAGTTCTTTGCATCCGACCACTACCAGCCACTTTGCGGATATCGTCACTCTATTTAGCTGGAAGATGCCATAAACTACATTTGCTTAGACGCAGTCTCCACTCCAAAACACGTCTACCCCAGCGGTCATCGGTTCTTCAACAAATGTGACCGGCCCAGTACCATTTCAGCTTGCTAATCCTTTGGGATACGTTGGTAACTTTACTTCTCTGTCGGATCACCTCGTCATGGATCCTCCAGAGAAACTCCGAGCATAGCCTTCTCCATAGCTCGCTGCAAAACAATAAAGTACCGAATACGGCGATGAGGCATTCTTTTTTGTAAACAAAATCTGAAGTCGTACACAAAAATATGATGGTTCTTTTATACATACTACTGACGTGGCAAACGAGCTTAGGTACTTCCTTTATTCCTTGATGGTAAGCAGTTACCATCACCAATCGCCAGTCTACCACATTCCTTTCTTTTCTTCTTGCTTTCTTTCTATTCTTGCAGAAAGTCCTCTGGAGTTTTAGATGTCAATGAGCGGCACTGATCGCTTACCATCTTAGAAGCTGGGTTACCCTTATCCCATGAACATAATACTTCTGCCATATCCCTGTGCCGTGTTCACACTCCATTCAAAGTTTACGTCGTTAGCGAAGCGATTCCGTCAATGCCATTCATCACGCCGTTGTTCGGAATGCGATGTCAAACTGTTTACTGTTGTCACTCGTCACCTCGTCAGTTAGTCTGCTGAAAATAATTTAGGAAGGTAGGTAGGTACTGTTGTTCCCGAAATGGACAGCAAAATACTTAAGCTGAATGTAACTTACTTATCATAGCAGAACTTGTAGATAACATAAACTTACATATTTCACATCTGTTCCTGTCAAGGTAAGGGATATTTTTTTATACCAAATAAGCAGACGGCCCACCTGATGGTAAGCGGTCACCGTGGCCTGTGAACGCTTGCAACACTTGGGTATAACATGCGCCTTGTCTAAAATGTAACACTCACTTTGCAACAGTTGCAGTATAAGTCCCATGTTATCGGACGTGGGGGTGAGCCATTTACTAGCTAGAAATCCGGACTAAGTATGTGCTAATACGATAATTTTTGAAAGCGTAGTACCTTGTACAACCCGTAAATAGAAAAAGAAAGATAAAAACAGAAAAACCACTTATTACGCCACGACACACAATAAGGATACAGGTACACACAAAAACCCCATGGTGCGTCGCAGCGCAAAAGGCTGGAGCTCAGCTTAACCTGTGGTATGCCGGAACATAAATATACGCGAGAAACAATGAATTTTCTATTGTCTCACATACTGGCACTCAAGAGGTTAATACTATTGCCCGGGGACGGGCTGATTTTTCAGCACCAGCCCGTAGTAGTACGTAATTATACACCCACCGCAACGCTGTTCGCAAAAAACAAAATAAATAGATAGATATAAAAAAAAATAGTAACAAGAAAACATTACATTATAATGCACATAGTGAAAATCGAACCTGAAACCCCTTGCTCAGCAGTAGCACTGTCAATTACCGTCAAGGTGAAAGCAGTACTAAGTAGATCACTTCCGATTATACCCTTATCCTCATAGTCACGTTTGAGACCACAACTCCAAAGAGTCCAATTTAAAATTTATAAATTGCAACATTTTTTTATTAATTCCCAAATCGACGAGGAAAAGCTAATCCGGAAAAGAAGCGGATCTCTGTCACACAATTTAGAAAACACAGCGGTACAATCTTTGAGCATGTATAAGACAAGCTATGAACTTATCTGGGCCAGCCAGCTAGTTAGAGAACCGATGTAGGTTGGGGTAGACATCTGGAGTGGAGGCCGCGTCTAGGTAAAGTTATCTATGTAAGTAAGGTCGTTCGTAGCGTCATCTAAGCTAGTAGCAATGATTAGATACGAAGATCTGAAGGCATTGTTCAGTGGCTTGCTATAGGAGATACTTAAGTCCAGTAATATACAGAAATTGTTGTTTTGGGCCTAAATGTGATTACCTAAATGTCACATGAATTTGTACACACATTTTGTAATCACACTTACAAAATTACACACTCAAATAAAAAAAAAAATAGGTTAAACTTACCCATTGATAGAAATGAGTGGAAAGAGGGAAGGGAGGCCTGTGCCCTCCACGAACATGGCTAAAGATAAATACATACCCATTTAATTTAATTTGTTAAAGCGCTCTACAGCATTATTTAAAAATATATACCCAAAGACGCTGAAATTATTTTTGCTCTAAAAAGTTGGATGCGGGCCTAACAATATAAATTGTCGTCCCTTTATTATTAAGGAAATATTAGAATATTTTATAATTTTTTCCTTTGCCATTGGACAAAATTTGGATCTTCCGTTTTGTTTGTTTTCGGAATTACGTAACATTAAACTTGTTTTCTTTAAAGAGGTTGCAGAGATGTTTCTTTTTATGATATAAAAGTCGCATGCGTTGTTATTTTAAAGGTTTTTTTTAAGGGGGGAAAACATCGAATGACTGCTCCCGCCTGGGTGAGGCGGAAGGGAGTGTCAGACTAAAAACCACCCCGTTCCTTCTCCTGCACGTCGAGCCGGAGCCCCGGTTACCCGTTAGGTTCTCCGCGACATTTTAAAGGGGTAAGTAGACTTTTGAAGAGATACGTGTAAGTATTCTTTGATGGGGTAAAAGCAAGAGTAGTACTGACGGACGAGATTCGATTTCCCTATCAGACAATTTATTTCATTTCCAAGTTTTTCGATTTTAACATTCTTAGTTCCTAAGTATTTGGTTACAAATAAATTAAACTTTTCCCTATCCTACTCCAAAGGGTTCGGTGCGTCGCGTTTTGTGCGCTCCTCAAAGAGCCATCAGACCACCACAGATGGGGCCCAACAGGGTCGATGCCGATTCGGAGTCGCGGAGAACCTAACGGGTTACCGGGGCTTCGGCTCGACGTGCAGGAGAAGGAACGGGGTGGTTTTTAGTCAGTAAGAGTCTGACACTCCCTCCCGCCTCACCCAGACGGGAGTAGTCATTCGATGATTCTCCCCCCTTAAAAAAATAACTCCAAAGGGTTATAGGGTGTGATGTAATATAATTTACATTTTGACCAGACCTCCCCTCACCGAAGCCATAAAAACAATTCATTAGAAAACTTGAACAAACGAATTATGTCATCGTTATGGTGAAATAAGTTTGTTTTTAATGCCAACCTACTCAAAATTGAACGGTTATTACAGCCCACACAAAATTCTTACATAAACAATAATAAATTTATTAAAATGATTTTTTTAACGAAAATTACGTAACTATAAATAAGGTTTTGAGCGTAAAAAGTAATTTTATTCTTGACTAAGTTTTGTCTGCGACTTCGTTCGTTTTCGTGAGTATGGCGCTTTATGGCCGGATAAAGAGTAGTACTTATTATGTATTCTAGATTATCTATGTATGAAATTTAATTCACTGCGCTGAATAATTTTTATAATTTTTACGTGATTTGTTAATTACAAAATAGAGATAGCTTCTTCTCTATCTAAGATATCGTCGTCGTCGATTTGCCTCTCAGAAAACCGACGTGATACAACACTCGCGTTGTTTCGTCGTATGATTAAGGTTACCGGAGGCACAATTATCCCCTCCCCAATCTCCGAATCTCCAACAATCCTCAAATTCCTAATCTCCAAAAGACCGGTAACGCACTTGTAACGTATTATTTATCTGGTGTTCTGGGTGTCCATACGCGATGCCGATTGCTTACCATCAGGTAATCTGGCTGCTCGTTTACCGGCTTATCTCATAAGAAAAATAACAGGTTTTGCCATATTCTTTATGCTTGACATGCGGACTCATAGAACATCTATCAAAAGTACCGCTAAGCCACATTTTAGACATTTGCGGAAAGAGCAAATAGGTACCAGT